TGCCAGGGACTCGTCCAGAGTCTGGGACTTGTCAGGTGCCAGGGACTTGTCCAGAGTCTGGGACTCGATCGGTGCCAGGGACTCGTCCAGTGTCTAGGACTTGTCAGGTGCCAGGGACTCGTCCAGAGTCTGGGACTCGATCGGTGCCAGGGACTCGTCCAGAGTCTGGGACTTGTCAGGTGCCAGGGACTCGTCCAGAGTCTGGGACTCGATCGATGCCAGGGACTCATCCAGTGTCTAGGACTTGTCAGGTGCCAGGGACTCGTCCAGAGTCTGGGACTCGATCGGTGCCAGGGACTCATCCAGTGTCTAGGACTTGTCAGGTGCCAGGGACTCGTCCAGAGTCTGGGACTCGATCGGTGCCAGGGACTCGTCCAGTGTCTAGGACTTGTCCAGTGCCTGGGACTCGTCCAGTGTCTGGGACTCTGGACAGTGAACCCTCTGATCCAGTCTAGGTTGAACCTTTAAAGGACTCGGAGCCACTAAAAGCTGATAAATATTTCTAGTCTTTCATGAATCGTCTTCAATTAAAAAAACATTTTTTAAAACCTGTCCTCAGAAGACAACATGAAACAGAAGTCCATGAGTGAAAGACAGAACCAGAACCGTCTGTCTTCACAGGAGTCAAAGGTTGATTCAGGTCTTTTATCATGTTCAAACACCTGGTCTCACTGGTCCAGCAGGACTCACCTGGTCTCTGATGCTCCTGCAGAACACCATGTCCGGGTCCAGCCCTTCGTCCACAAACAGGCTCACCTGGGACAGTTTGGACCGCAGGACGCTGCCTTTGATCAGGTACACCTGAGTGATGTAAGGGACGTTCCACACACCACTGAACACACACACACACACACACACACACAGAGACACACACACAGACACACACACACACACAAACACACACACACACACACACAGAGACACACACACACACACACACCTATCATCAGTTAGTTTTGGACAAATGTTTCTTCTGTCTCTGAACCCTGAGGTCCTCAGAACCAGACAGTCTCTTGTTGGATCTGGACTCCAGATGGACAGTTTGTCCTGAATGACCCTGGACAGGTCTTTAAAGACCATGACAGACCCTGGACCAGTCTTTTAATCCAGGATCCGGGTCCCTGCCTGCAGGTGTGTTTGACTCACATCCTCTTCCCCTGCACGATCTCGATGTAGTCCTCAGATCTAGAGTAGTACCCTTCAGGACTCAGAGCCCCCCAGAAGTTGCTCCACAGCTTCCCATGTTTGGACAGCATGGGGGCGATCACAGACCTGAGAGACACCAAGGTCCAAATTACAACCACAGCAGAACATGGGACCTTCAGACCGTCTTACAGGACAGAGTCCTGCAGACGGGTCAGGACCTACTTGTTTTCCTCCATGAGGACCCTCAGAGTGTCCGGGTTGATGAGGGCCACGTCTGAGTCCAGGCTGAAGTAGTACCCACAGTCCGGGTTCTTCTGACACGCCTCGCTGCAACACACCACAAGGTTCTCACAGAGCACACCTTCTACAGGTCTCATCAGACAGGTTCTCCTGGTCCACTCACCTGGCCATGGTTCTGGCCTTGTCCTCCTGCAGGTTCTCCTCAGGTCCAACCAGGACAGCATCGGGGAACAGAGTCCGGTACCGCTCCCAGAACTGCTGGATGTGGCGCTCGTGGTACACCACCTGGAGACAGGTGAGTCAGAACCAGAACAGACCGGGTCAGAACCAGAACAGACCGGGTCAGAACCAGAATAGACATGACAGATAAAAACACAACGAAGTAGAAAAGAGGCGTCACTCTGTTTTTAGAGTTAATACATATCTGTGTGTGTTGTTGTTGTTGTGTGTGTTGTTGTTGTGTGTTGTTGTTGTTGTGTGTTGTTGTTGTGTGTTATTGTTGTGTGTTGTTGTGTGTTGTTGTGTGTGTTGTTGTTGTGTGTTGTTGTGTGTGTGTGTGTTATTGTTGTGTGTTGTGTGTGTTGTTGTGTGTGTTGTTGTGTGTTATTGTTGTGTGTTGT